GCTGTGTCGATAAACTATGTCTATGGATATAGGATCCACGAGTAGACGTTCATCAGCTAGCTATTTTGTTTCCTACACAAGAAAGTTTATAAGTATACTCCATTCTCATATTGCGTAATGAATCTATCTTTTTTATATTAGCCTTTGGGTTCGTCTTCAAACGTAGGCCCCTTCTTCAACTTTCCACCGACTTCTGTCCCCGGCCACTTTGATCCACTTAATTCCAGCATGTTGCCGGATGTCATCTGTCCATCTCTTAGGTGGGCTTCCTCTGCCGCGAGTCATTACCGGGTCTCTATCTGGTACTCTGTGTTCTTTCTGGCCCAGTGATCGTGGTTCATCTGTGCAATGTGTCCTGCCCATCTCCATTTACGTCTCTCAATCTCTTCCACCACGTCGCTGACCCCTGTACTTTCTCTAATCCACTCATTTCTTCTTTGATCATGTAGAGAAACGCTAAGCATCTGTCTCGCCATTGCCCTCAGCAGATTTTTTGGTTAGCGTCGTGATTTCCATTCCATACATGACGTAATGAATAGATGAAAAATATTTGAACTGGATAATATTACCTTTTCGCGTTCGCAATTCACGTCGAATTACAAAACACACATTAGATGACTTCACATAATGCCACCAATAATCGAGCCAAAATGATTGGCAGGCGCCACTGAATACAGCACCAGAAGCTGATTTTCAATCCTAAGAAAATGAACAACAAATAATTTTACTTTCCCCTTTACTTCGCTTGTATTCGCTAATATGGAGCCTACACTTAGCTGACTCACTTGGTATTTTCGACTGATTTCGGTTTCACTCGTCAACATCAGTTTGACTGACTTGTCGAAAGTGGTACAGTAGTACTTACGCACTTACAATAAGCTCAACAAATACTTACATTTTCATTGAGTGCCATTGTCGGACAAGCCTCATCAATCAAATGTATGTATATGATCCGTAAAAGAAATGTGTCCATATTACCGGTGTAACGTGTGGGCCAAAAAGATATATCGGCGTTATCTGGTTTTTGAGGTTTGACTTATGAAGAAATCAAGCATGAAATCACCTTTGCGATCTTTTTACTAATAATGATATATGGCGATGGTGGCTTTCCTGAGTTAATTGCATTAAGTTGAAGAAGAGTTTTTTTATGTCATATTAGTCACCATTATCTAATAGCATCATTCATTCTTTGAATGGGCTGAATGATTGAGTGCCAATTGTTGAAGACAAAGCAAACTCCAGTAAAATTACCTTCGCCTTTCACTCCATTACTTAAAAACAACATAACACATGGATGCTATATGTACTTTACTGTACTTAATAATAACACTTTTAAATAATACTTGTTCTTTTTAGAGAAAATATTGTTTTCATAACAAATAATGAAACTTCTATAGCTTAGGATTCAAAGTCCACTGTAAAACCGGTAAGTCTGTTAGTTCAATATACGGAACATCTTTATTCTTCCTTAATTGGTAATTAAAGTATTAATTACATACTTAAAAGCTTTATTGCAGCATAACTTCTTCAGATTATATTAGTTAGTCTTAGAAGCGCGCAAAAACTACTGATTGTAAGTCGTGTCAATGAAATATAACGTGTCTGTTGAATATTCCCACGCTACTTTTATTAGTTTTAATAATCACGGTTGCGTCAGTCTGCGAGAATGTCTCGTCGTTTCTTTAGCGTCGCGACGGCAAGCACGACGCCCGTGTCGCCCCAGTGTAGCGTCCTGGGTGACCCCGATTGCAAACATTCATCATCGCCACATTGAATACGAGTAAGCGTTCCTGATACCTACATTGATTGCAACTCAAAACTATCATGACTAAACATGGGCTGAGTAATCCACAATGCAATGAGCTTAAGTCGGTCAGACTCCTATTGGTTAGGCATAATCAACAAGGAAAACAAATTCGTTAGAAATCTGTGCGACACGTTAGATATTGATGTATTTATAAAGAATTTCGTAATACTTATGGGAAATTGAGAAATTATTTGTTTCAGTTATTTAAAGATAGTGTAAAGACCTAATCAGTAAAGAAACGGAAACAGTAGTAAGTCAAAATTAGAACAACTAAAGAAAACACGGTTTGAATATCAACTTTGCACTTTCAATTAAGTTCGGTTCGGTCTAGCCCTTCGCTAGACTAGACTGTATCACGTGACTATGTATAAATAGTGAATGTGTTTAAAGTTAAATAAATGTTTTTTTATCATAGTTATAACACCTAGGTATTCGTGCCGAAAAAATATATTCGCCAATCATGTTCTTTTGTTTAGAACGGATGACAACGCTCAACGGTTCTTTGAAACACGGATACATTTTTAAAATAAGATGCCAAAATATTTTCCTATTATATTTTTAGCTCAAGTATACAAAAGTAATTCAAATATTTACCACCACAATTTAAAAAAAATACGTATTAAAATGTTTGAAAATTCAACCCTGAAAGAAATTTACTGAAAAATAAAATATCTCTTTTCAGTAGTTTGGTTTTATAATTTATCTCGAAATTGTATTTTTCCAATCAGGGACGTTAATTATTGAGTAGTTTTCCTGGTATACTTCCGCTCCACTTCACTAAATACATAGAATATAACTAATTTAAAGTACCGAATCACATCGGAACCCGTAACGTTCTAAGTATTGAGTAGTTTCAATCGACATCATTATCACCAACTGTTACTTTCCGAGAGTAAACAAGAATGAGTTACTATAAAAAAATCTAAACCATGGATTTTATTTATTTAAGTACAACCAACAAGAATATTTTAACAATAATTTAAGAATATATATAATTCAAAATAAGATAAGTACCTATACCTAAAAACTTTAAAAAGTTCCCTTGCTTACTCGAGTAACCGGTTTTGGACAATATACATATAAAAGAATAATTTTGAAAAACGTTTTACAATTAAGACAAAAGAAGAAGAAAAAGATGCATAAAAAACCCGACTGCTAAAATATTACTTGAAATAAAAAACAAGTCCAGTAGGTTGTCTATAATTCTGTTAAGTAAGGAACAAAGCTACTTTAACAGTCGGGACCCATTAGATATTCAAGTATAGATAAAAAATTTCAATAATGGGTTAAATTTTATATATTAGACATATAAGAATAAGTATGTATAAATTACCGAATAACGAATCCCTGTTTACCAAAAATGCAAAATCATTATTGCAAATATAATCAAATAAACCTATTACTTACTTTATTTTTAAATCTTTTTCATCAATTATATATTATTATCCTAACTATCTATACTAATATTATAAAGAGGCAAGAGTTGTATGTTTGTAACAAAAATAATGTGTCAAACTACTAAACCGATTTCGAAAATTCATTCATCATAAGGTGGCTACATTATTTATTATTATATATTCAAGCATTAATCTCAATATCGTTGATTAATCTGCTCGATTTATAAAACTAAAGAAAACTTTTAGTTGAAAAAAATACACTGACAACTTCGCCGAGAGGAAATTTTTCTAGTATTTTTTTTATAACTACATTTTATCCGAGTAACATAGGCTACATTTTACTCCGTTAAAAATAATTTCGCCCGTGCAATGCCGGGGTGGATCACTAGTAAGTATAATATAATATTATAGATAGATAGTATAGTATAGTACTCAGCGCTATCACTTTTTCATCGTTGTAACTTTTTAAATATTTGTCGAAATGACATAGTGTAAAAAGGCAAAGTTTATCGTTTTTAAAGTATTTGTTTTGATTGATAAAAATTGTTAATACAAAATGTGCATTTTGGAAATGGACATAAATTTATACTTTATTTTAGATTCACTATTTTAGCGATAATGGCCTGCATATTAAAAATAGATTGGACTTTCTTGTAGAACTATTTAAGAGATACATTTTCACAGTACATTACATTCGTGTAACTTCTATTGTTTTTGAAGTGCAGGCCATAATGGCTCGCAGATTGAAGATTTTTTCCGTCCTTCGTGACACTTATTGTTATATTTTGGCCAATTCACTCAATGACTACATAAATTGTTATCTGCATGTTATTATCATGTATGAGCTATATTATTGTAAAGTTTCATTAAAATCCATTCAGTATTTTTTAGGTGAAAGAGTAACAAAGATCCATACAAACGTAAGATTGAAATTAAAAGCATAAGTGGTTAATATACAACTTTAAATCGTTGTAGATCCTAAACAGTCATATAAAATGAAAAATGGTGTATGAAACCTAATCATGATTTTTGATTAAATGATACCCCACTCGACATATTTCGTCAACTTATTTTTTTTCGTCACAATATGGCACCTAATTGTCCCCATATTGAATTTTGATTACTATCATATCTTTAGTAGCACTCCCATGTTTAAAACGAATCAATTGATGTATAAATCATCAAAATCGGTCCACGCGTTTGGTCTCTAGTTTGCCACAAAGGAACAAACATACATATATAGACTATTAAACACTATACCCTGTCTGCGCGTCCCGCTTCGCGCTCTTGCATTGCGCAGTCGAGTAAAAAGGAATTGTGTCCGTGAATTTTGAGTAACCTGAGAAAATTTATTAGCAATTCAGACAACGATTTAGGTAATATTTCCGCAAATTTCTTTAATTACCAAATTGCGCCGTTACATAATTACTATGGATATTTTTCTTTGAAAATGCAAAAGCGTCGTCTCGATTCTCCACCTTTTAAAGGAGGAAAACTGTTTATCGCTAATTTCGGGAAAACTTTAACTTCTATTGATATCAATGTCAAAATTTTAGGTAGTTAAAAGATCTACAAATATTTTCTCTATTTTGCTGTCGGCCCTGGTCTTAAAGATTATCGGCCCTGGTCTCTTTCAATTATACGATATTTAAGTTTATCAGGTTACTTAAAATTCACGCTGTACATACAGGCGAATACATACCCTCCTCTTTTTTGAGCTGGTCAAAAAGGGTAAAATATTGTACGAAATTTTTATTGGGAAGTCGCACTCATCATCTTTGCTTGTGATAATGCAGGACCTTCTCTCCGTGCACGGGTGGTGGGGCGAGGAGCGGAGCAGGACAAGCGAGGACTCCGATGTGCAGGTGGTGTACCTACCAGCGCTACTCCCACGGGAAGCGCAACTCTCCACAGACAAGAACAACGATGAGATCCCGCTACCGTACAGTTTTGATGCCTTTGGAAGGTACATTCATTATAATGCTAAGTTGACCTTTTTGATGACCACCATTGTCGTTGAGCGACCGTGCTTGAATTTTCCGTTAATACAATTAAAAAAGAAATTAGGTCAATGAAGTAACTATAGCCGGCTTTTTACTATGTTTTGTTTAAGCATTTTATATATCCAAAGTTTTCGTTAAAACTCGTTCATTAGGGGCCGTTCAAGTATTACGTAAGCAGATTTACTACAATTATTGACCCCGTCCTCCGCCTTGTCAGCAAAAGTAAGCAAAGCTCTTACCCCCCCTCCCGTGCTTACGTAAACATTGGTACCTCTATATGCATTTTTCCTTTAATGTTTTCTGATTTTTTTATTCATTCATGAGCTTTCATAAGCTTCATGAGCAGCATTACTTAAATAGGCCTAGGATAGAGGACTTTAACGCACATAGTATTCATTTAAACAAAATTGACACATTATTCAACATAGAGTGAGGTACAAATCTAATAAATAAAATTCTCGTGTCGTGGTGTTTGTGGTTAAACTCCTCCGAAACGGCTCGACCGATTTTCGTGAAATTTTATATGCATATTCAGTAGGTCTGAGAATCGAATGTAATCTATTTTTCATCCCCCTAAATGTTAAGGGTAGCCCCCCCCCCCATTTTTTTTTAATTATAGATATTTTTTTTTTAATTTTTTTATGATACATCATTTAAAAATACATACAGCCCTAAATTTTCACCCTTCTACCACCAACCCCTATTTTTTATGGCGGTACGAAGTTCGCTGGGACAGATCGGACAACATCTATTTTTCATCCTCCTAAATGTTAAGGGTAATCCACCCCTAATTTTTTTTTTCAATTCTGATGATACAGCATTAGTAAATACATATAACCCTGATCAACGATCAATCGATCAGTTATCCCCGCTAGATGTCTACCTGGATCACCTCTCATCCAGCAAACATCACGGAGTAGGGATGAGAAGGAAGCCGGTCTCCTGACTTCCTCAATATACAGTTTTCGGCCATTTTTTTTTTGGTTTCATTTGTGTATCGATCGTAGCAGTGACTTATACGTATTATTTTAATTTTTCTGTGCATCTATTACGTTAATTTTACTCTCATCGTGAATTTATTATTAATTTCCAGTGCAGTAATTATTTTTTCACATTTTATTAATAACTGATAAAAACAGTTTTAACTATTAGCCGAAACGGCTCGACCGATTTTCGTGAAATTTTATATGCATATTCAGTAGGTCTGAGAATCGGACAACATCTATTTTTCATCCCCCTAAATGTTAAGGGTGGTCCCTACTTAAACAATTTTTTTTGGACCATCATCATACAAAAATACATACAACCCTAAATTTTCACCCTTCTACCACCAACCCCTATTTTTTATGGCGGTACGAAGTTCGCTGGGACAGCTATATAGTAGGTATTTCTATAGATATTCAATATACGGATGGTGACATTGTAATGCTCCATACCTATATAAATAATTATAAAATAAAGTGGCTTCAGACTTTCTCATTTCAGAACCAATATATATTAAAAAAAAAAGAACAAGCGCAAGACACAATAGAACGTGACGTAAGCGCTATTCGAAAATTTAAAAAAATCGAAAATTGAATGCCTTAGAATGAAAACTGAGGTTCCCTAAGCGATGCGTGTGGAACTGAATTTTCTTTCATTGAATTTACGTCCTTCAAATTTGTTTGTGTAGCTTTTGTAAAATTGTTTTTTCGTTATATAGTGAAAAGCTCTTCCACTGTTTCCTTTTGTTTATTTGTTGTTAATTTTTCTTTGTATTTTTTAGATATAAATGCTGATTCATTATATTTACATAGTGTTTAATACACCCGTGTGAAGCCGGGACGGGCCGCTAGTATTATATATAATCTTATTATGTACTATTACGAACAAAACAAACTTCTTCCGAATTTTTGGTATACTTACATATTAATTCCAATTAACAGTCTTCAACTTAGCTCTAAGGTCTTCAGTCCATGACACCCGAATCCATGATGCTGACGTAACCATTATTTCAAAAATAAGCAAAGCAAAGAGCCCCCTGCCCCCCTATAGTGCTTACGTAATACTTGAACCAAATAGCGAATAGTGCTATTGTAGTTCGGTTCCAGTCTGAAACCTTAATAAATGTGTAACTTTTACTCCTTCCTTGATCCCTTTTTAAGTTTTGGAAATAGATTATCTTATGTCACATTGATCGCTTTAACTTTAGTCAGACCTAGCCCCAGTTATCGTAACCTATGTTACATACTCATTTTGAGATATCTTAGACTTTTCCGAAAGTCAGTATATCGACAAAACTTCGGTTAAAACAATAGGTATAAGTTGTACTTACTCTCGAATGTATTATCGGATATTGATCAATGAATTGTTTTTTGTTCCGAAACTGGGAAGAGCCAATGAATGAGTGAGTCACGACAACTAAACTTATAACGATGAGTCACAATCACAATACTTGTTTCGTAATAGGTTAAGTGAAATGCGTGAAATGTGGTACAATGATAAAATAGCATAAGCTATCAGATCTATTCTTTACTTCTTCTTCGCAGTAGTGAATGTCACCACAATGTTTTTTTAGGGTTCCGTACCCAAAGAGTGAAAATGGGACCCTATTACGAAGATTTCACTGTCCGTCTGTCTGGCTGTCACAGGCTGTATTTCATGAACCATGATAGCTTTTTACTGATGATATTTTCTAAATACTAAAAAGAGAATAAAATAAACATCCTACAACGCATGTGATTTTTTTGCTGTTTTTGCTCTATATTAATAACGGCAACAGATAGACGCTTGAAATATTCACAGAATATTCTCATTTCATCGAGACTTTGTGGCTGGATAAGGATGAGTCTTCAGATACTCTGTTCGCGCTACTCCCGGTGTTTCAGGGAGCCGTAACGCCTTTTCAAGATATAAAAAAATTAAAAAATCAAAAGACCCGACTGCTTAATTATTCTTCAAATAAAAACTGAAAAGAAAAAAACAAGTCCAGTAGTCTATAATTCTGTTAATAAGGAATAAAGCTACTTTAACAGTCGGGACCCATTAGATATTCAAGAATACATAATATTTTTCAACAGTGGGTCCCGACTGTTAAAGTAGCTTTGTTCCTTATTAACAGAATTATAGACTACTGGACTTGTTTTTTTCTTTTCAGTTTTTATTTGAAGAATAATTAAGCAGTCTGGTTTTTTGATTTTTTAAATTTACCTTTTTTATTTCACACTTTTTAGTTAGTATTTTAAGACGGTATATACCGTAGTCTTGTTACTTTAGTAAGGGAATTAATATCGCGGGAATTATTAAGTACCTTGCGTCGGTCTAAAAGATTGATTTATTAAGACATATAAAGACTTTACCAGCGGGGTCAAGGCTACAGATGGGCCTCAATTTTCGCAAAAATGTGTGAAGTTAAATCAAGTCGTAACATAAATATCTCTAATGTATGTAAATTTTACAGTAAACTAGCACTTACTCAAAAAGTCATCTTTTGTTTATGTTTTTTTTAATAGTTTAGCAGTAAATATAAAATTCATTTACTTTTATTCGTCGGCTATTAATAATAATAATAATAATAAATATATCTTTATTCAAATAAGGTCATACATTGCATAATAATACTAATAACAATATAAAGTAAAAAATAATGGATGCCTGAACTAGGTTACAGTTAAAATTGTACCTGTATTTCAGGCTTTTAAAATTGGCAGTGGCTGCATTGTCATGTCAATGCCGGACGTCTAAGATTGTGATATACACAAATTCAGTGTCAGTCCCTAGTCTCATAATTTGATATACCTACATAATTCACAGAAACCCAATATGTAGATGCTAGAAGTTAACTTCAAATGTTTTTAATCACCCTATATACAATACCAATCAATGACGTTTATGTCGCAGGTTGAAGAAAGAAGTAATTCCCGTCTGTTGTTTTGGACAATGGTGGCAACTGCCTTAGATCACTAAATTAAATAATTATGCAATCACCAAAGCAAAGTTTATAATATTTGATTAAACTAAAGGCGCATAATAAAATTTTCATAACGTTAGGTAGAGCACCATAGCAATCTCATTTATTATCAATTTATAGTTCTCTTTGTAGTATTCTTTTAAAGCGTTCATATTTAACAGGTCAAAGACTTTGTGTTCGACCCTATTTTATTGGTAGTGTAAAGCTCGAATGAAGAGTACTCCCAGTAGTGCAATCATGGTAATTATTTTCCAATTTTTTTTTGTTATAAAAATACCGAATTACGTATCACTGTTAAGCACAAATGCTAAGTAACTTTTACAAATATAGTCAAATAAACCTATCACTTACTTTATTTTTAAATCTTTTTCATCAATTAAATACTTATCTTATCCTAACTATCTATACTAATATTATAAAGAGGCAAGATTTGTATGTTTGTAACAAATAATCTGTCAAACTACTGAACCGGTTTCAAATATTAATTCATCATAAGGTAGCTACATTATTTATTATAACATTTTTCTTTATTTAAATACATTTTGTCCGAGTGACATAGGCTATATTTTATCCCGATAAATAAATTTCGCCCGTACAATGCCCGGGTGGATCACTAGTAAGTATAATATAATATTATAGATGCGAAATTGAGTTTGTTTGTTGCGCTTCCGTGCCCTAATAGCTAAATCGAATATAATGAATTCCCATAAAGAAGTAGATGGGAACTTGGTTCTTAGCTACAACATCGCAATACTTATAGGCGTAGGGTGATGAAAGGGGTGATTTACCTATAAAAATCTATTAATTATAATTATTTACTTTAAATTTTACAGAATTATTACAAAACCAATATTATCGCGAGCTGATTAATAAATACAGGGATTCCAATAAATATGTACTTACTAGCGAAAAATGGGTTATTTGTCATTATATTAAGTAAACCTTTTTTGTAACCTTATGTAATATCGTTAAAAAAATGAAAAACACTAAAATTCTGAGTTTTTATTAAAATTCAATAATCATAAATACCTATTATGATAATATATTTTTCATCATTTAATTAGAAGGAACTGTATCACAGTTTTAATGTTAGTACTTCGTATAGGATCAGATACTGCAAATACCCCATTTTTTTTCTTTTACATAGTACACCGCGCTATCACTTTGTCATCGTTGTAACTTTTTAAATATTTGTCGAAATGACATAGTGTAAAAAGCAAAGTTTATCGTCTTTAAATATCAAAAGTGATTAAAGTATTTGTTTTGATAAAAAATGATTTGTTAATACAAAATGTGCATTTTGGAAATAGATATCAAATAATATTTTAGTTTTGATTCACTATTTTAGCGGTAATGACTTACACATTAAAAATAGATATATGGTGTCACGGACTTTTTTTTAGAACTATTTAAGAGATACATTTTCACTCTACATTACATTCATGTAACTTTTATTGTTTTTGCAGTGCAGGCCAAAATGGCTCGCAGATGGGACATTTTTTTCCGTCTTATGTGACACTTATTGCTATATATTGGCCAATTCACTCAATAACTACATAAATTATTATATATATGTAATTATCATATATGAGCTATATTACTGTTAAGTTTCATTAAAATCCATTCAGTATTTTTTAGGTGAAAGAGTAACAAAGATCCATAGAAACGTAAGATTGAAATTAAAAGCGTGTGGTTAATATACAACTTTAAAGCGTTGTAAATCCTAAACAATCATATAAAATGAAAAATGGGTTTAGGAACCTAAATATGATTTTTGATTAGCTAGACAGTGATACCCCACTCGACATATTTTGTCAACTTTTTTTTTTTACTTCGTCACAATATGGCGCCTAATTTTGCCCATATTGAATTTTGATTACTATCATATCTTTAGTAGCACTCCCATGATTGAGACGAATCGATTGATGTATGAATCATCAAAATCGGTCCAGGCGTTTGGTCTCTAGTGTGCCACAAAGGAACAAACATACATATATAGACTGTTAAACACATAACCCTGTCTGCGCGTCGCGCTTCGCGCTCTTGCATTGCGCAGCCGGGTAAAAAAGGTTCTTGTATACCGTCTTTCCGTGACTAATTTACCTAAAATTTAGTACAGATATTAACTTCAAAAGTCCTAAAATATTTTTAGCACAAAATAAATAAAATAAAAGAAAGACTTTATATCGTGATTTTTCGAAACTAATTTTAATAATAAATTTATTAAGTTTTATGAATAGTTTATGTATATGTTTATCATGTCCTTGGCTATTGATTTTCCATACCAACTGTTATCTCTTAAGTCAGTCTCTCTTATGAAAGATATATACCTAACACTTTGTTATAACACCTCACTCGATATCCCCCTTATCTTAAAAAATATTATTAATTAATCCCCCTTAATAAATTAACGGAAATAAGCTTAGACTAGTATTTTTTGCGACAGTAAGACCTTAGTTGTGTCCTGCGAGGATCTCTTTATCTCAGAATAAAAATTATTAAAATCGGATAACAGACAGATACTTTTATTTATATTAGAATAGATACAATGCCGTTACACATGCGAGGTATAGGGAGGGATAATTTGAAATGCAACTCCGAAAGGTACATAAAATCTATTTTCAAAATATGTTGCCGAAAGAACTCAGCCGATTTGGGATTTTTGCTGTATCGTTTTTGCATGACTAGATTGAAATAAGAAGTAAATAAGGAGTAAATTGTGACAGTGTGAAAAATATTTTAATAAATCTATTGTGGTAATTAACTTTTTTTTTCTTATAAAATGATGTTGTCGAGAAATGTCAACCGTTTCCAGGAGTTTCAACCTTCAGCTCGTGCCGAACCGCCGACTGGTGTCTAGCAACTTCCGCGTGTGGTCGGACCAAGGACCGGAGCCTGTGACCATTACTGACACCTCCTGTCACTTCCTCAACGCGGGCTCCGGAGCAGTGGCTGCACTTTCTGCATGCAAAGACCATGCCCTGGTAAGACAACACCTTTTTCCTTTTTTTTTATTGTTGGGAAAATGCGTGACGCGTACCCCGCCCCTGGGTGAGAGACGGGGTTATGTGGTGGTAAGACTACACCTGCCCAAAATGGTTTTATCAGTTTTCTTATAGCTTTTTGTTGGAGCACAGCACAGAATTCCTCTTAACAGAATCTAAGCTATAGACGACATAGGTCAATATGAATTGGTGCGTCTCCCTCTAATAATTAGAGTGGAGATACAGGATACAGGCAATCCTATAGACGACATAGGCCAATATGAATTGGTGACTCTCCCTCTATAGGCGAGGAGTCACCAATCCTGGAAGCTCCGTGATCACGGATTCTAATATTTAAAAAAAAAATAAAAGTTAGCGTTTAGACGAACAAGATTTGCTTGGCCGGCGTGGATTTGATTGGCCGGAAATATTTTAATTAAATTATTTATTATTAAATTTCCATACTTTTTTTCCGGCATCACGGATTTTGATCAATCTTATAAAGAATTTTGTGGAATATTATGTTCAACAAGGAAAAATCCGGCCGACCAATGATTTTTAGCCGGAAAGGTCACGCATACCTATTTGAATGGTGTAATAAGGGGTAAAATTTATCCATTATCACGGAAACTTTTTATTTTTTTTTAATTCACGCGTTTTATTGTCACCTTTATAATTATCTTGGTATGCGTGCTTACAAACTGCCGAAAGTATCGCGCATACCAAATTTTATTTGTAATACATCAACTAAAGTAATTTTCTCACTCCGTTTTGTCCGCTTGGTCCGCCGACCAAGCAAATCTTGTTCGTCTAAACGTTAACTTTTATTCTTTATTAAAAATATTAGAATCCGTGATCACGGAGCTTTCAGGATTGGAGCCTCCCGGACTACTAGTAATTAGAGTGGAGATACAGGCAAGGCAAAAGGCTGAACTTGCCTTGCGAAGGTCAAAGATAATTAATTAATTACGGGCATCGCGAGAATTGTTGTAAGAACCAAATTAATGTTAATTTAATTGCATTATTGATTGCGACTATTTACTACTACTTTATTATTTTTCCTAGCCCCTTTAGTTTATAAAATAAGTCCTATAAAAATTTATATAATTTCGTTATGGATTTTCAGCACGGGCTTATAGTTGTCGACAATTCAACGTACGAGGTTCGACCTTTAAGAGCGGGCTCTCGCCGTTCGAACAAGCGCGAAGGTCGTACTGCGCACGTGATAAGACGCGCGCCGCCACCACCGCCGCCTTTGGACGACGAACTCCTTTTGAGACCTCGACCACGAGCCCGCACGCCTCGCATGTCCCGTGCTCCCCCCCATAACAAACTACCATCCGGCTACACCATCGAGATAGCCCTGTTCTTAGACGAAGCTGGGTACAAGCTGTTCCATCCTTTCCTCAACTACAATGAAGCAAGCTTGAAAGATATGTTACTGGCCTATATAAACGGTGTAAGTAATTAGTCGTTTTGACGAACAGTTTTTTCTTTTTGATTTCAGGTCATGAATCCTATATATCAAAAGGAAAATGTCAGCGGCAATGACTAAGAGCAGTTGTTAGCTGCAGCCCGCTAACAAATCGAATTTCATCATTACTATGAGCCTATTAATATCCCCACTGCTAGGGAATAGACCTTCCCTATGGGTGAAATATGGAGATTCAGTCATGAATGCAACATGGCTCATCACGTCACGCGACTTCAGGCGGGTTGGCGGGTACTGACGACTGTAGATGCAGCTGGCGGCACCAACCGCTTAAAGTGCCTTCCGAAACACGAAGGAGTTCGAGATAAAAAATATTTGGTCCTATGCGTTAATCGCACCATCAAGCCCCATGAATCAGATTGACTAGTATGTAACTTTTAAATATTGTCAGTATACTCACTTCATGCATTTTCCTCATAGCAGCTGTAATAATTTACAGGTACAAGCTTTGTACCAGCACCCGTCATTGGGCACCCGCATCCAGTTATCTCTGGTGCGCCTCACGTTACTGCGAACTCAGCCGCAGTCGTTGCCAGCCCACGCTGAACGCGGTCGCCTGCTGGATGCCTTCTGCGCGTACCAACGCTCGCTCAACATAGAAGATGATGACGATCCCCAACATTGGGATATGGCTTTACTGCTCTCTGGGTAAATTTGAAAAGAGTAAAAAGTAGAAATAGAAACAACATTTTGTTCCCCGATAACCTTTTTCACTGGTTTATTCTACAGGAAAAGCACTGCTCAAAAACAGTAGGACAAGGTTATTGGTCGCAATATCTGAGGTTTTCCTTCATAACCCGTCCGTCCTGCTTTGTTTCCCCATATTTTGATGTTGCCATTATGATGCCAATGAAAAAGTGTAAAACAATACTTCAAAGTTTGTAGGGAAAACAACGATAAAAAAGAACATTTATTTAATAACAAAAAGTTGGTCTTAAACCTAGCTCATCTGAATGCAATACTTCTTGAAGTTACGGAACGATGTTATTGTGTTCAAACATGAAACGAGTATTTTGAAGGACTTTATTTTTTGAGGTTTTCAATCGCGTTCTTTTTGACACGATGCCCAAATTTCACAATGGTTTCAATTTAACTATGAAACTGAAAAGTTTCTCTTTTAAATATTTGTTTCTCTTTTAAAAGCACAATGTTAAATTAATTAGCCTGAAAAATGCTTGCTGCCACTGCTGGGCCATTTGTTCCAAAATATTGTTGTTTTGGTAAACCTCAGGTTTTAAGTTCTATATTCTGGGGGTTTTAACACTATGTCGTAAAAAAAAGGCGCCCGCAGAGTAAATTAAAAAAAATTCACCAAGGAGGTACCGAGTCTGAGTTTTTAACAAATTAAAAAAGGTTATTTATTTAAAAGTTGGTTTAATGATGTTTTGAATTCACAAACAGTGCACACGATGTTCTAAATTCAATTTACTTTATCCCCTAGCGGATAAGCGGCTTTTGCACTCAGATATCGAAGACCAAACATACTCTTTCCGAGATTTTCTATTACACTATGGGATAAATTTTTCTGTCACGAATATATTCTCCCTTTCTTACAAACTTACATGCCAACAAAGTGCTTGTGCCTAGTGCGGTGCCAATGGCAATGTCTGCAGCTGCTATATTGCATCTTCAAATTTCACATTGTAATCTATTCAACACTAGGGCCTTATCATACTAGCGGTTTGCGAGCGGCTGCGGGGCGGGCGCATTGCAAATGCGTCGCGAACACGCCGCGGTTACACAGCGAGGACGTCGCGAAAGCGTAGCAGATACGCGACGTTTTCGTCGCGGGTTTGTAGCGACTTAACGACGTACAATGCACTCAGTGACAAAATGGATTCCGACGAGGAAACACTGCTGTTGGCTTTGTTACTTCGAAGACGCCGGAGACGAATACGAAATCATCGACGAATTTGGGAGAAACCGTTATCAATTAATCGACACTAAGAGAACGACTACTTTGTGTTGTTTTGGAAACAAATAAAAAATAATCCAGAAGAAATCCGTTCTTTTGTTCGTTTGTACAAAATAGCGTCCACGCTGCTATTCACGGCGATGATGTTGCGCGCCCGCAACGTATTCGTCGCGCACTCGCTCCGCGTTAAGGATGGTCGCAAGCCGCTAGTATGATAAGGCCCTATATTCATGTTTTCATCCACTTGAGATTACGGTCTTTACTAAAAAGATGAGCTTCAAATACTTGGAATGTATATTTTTTGTATGTATTTTGCGCCTCTTTTGCATTTAGTATGAAAACTTCAGATAGAATGAAAGAACAGCAACAACCGTAGTACTTTTATAAACATTTTCAGGATGGACTTCTACTCAGAGGAGGGTGGTCAACGTAACGGCGTAACGATGGGTTTGGCGCCAGTCGGCGGGGTGTGCCTACCAGCACACGCGTGTGTAGTATCCGAGTTCGGCACCTCCGACCTCATGGGCCGCCCCTATCCATCTGCTGGCTTCACCTCCGTCTACATCCTGGCACACGAGATTGGGCACAAGTCGGTTACAATATATTTTAAATGTTACAGGTTTCCCTTAGATAAGTTTACCCATTTTTGATTCACTAGATTTTTGATATTTCTAATGTTAATAAACTCTTCTATCAACATAACTACCTACTACTCATAAAGACTGATACTCGTTATCACTACATTTAATTAAGTCAACAGTTTAGTATTTCAAATAAACGAGTAATCTTTTTTTGGAATATTGATATCGTGTACCGTAACATTTTTTTAGCTTGGGAATGCACCACGACGGAACGGGCAATACTTGCGCCCGCGACGGCTTCATCATGTCGCCGTCAAGAGGCACCAATGGTGAAGCTTCCTGGTCATTCTGCAGCGCGAGGGTCGTCGCTGATTTACAGTACGTTCTTCTAGGTTATATCTTGTTATATCTTGTATAACAGGTTATATAAATTAAATTAGTAATAGTATCTATTAGCTATCTTTCTAAAATAAATAACAGGTTATACAAGATTGGGAACAATACGAAAGAAACAAAGTTCTTTTTCTTTAATAGCCGAGCAACTGATTCCATCCCACCTGATAATAAGTGACTGAAATCCTAAAGCGAATCTTCGCGTTTCAAATCATGCATGCTAGCTAGAGTGCAATTTAAAGATTATTTCTATTTATGTAGTTTAATAATATTGTTTAAATCATTTTAATATTCATATAAAAATGAACTTGCGAAGTGTATTTGTCGTCTAGCAAACACTGTATTACAAATTGAGACAGGAAAACAAATGAGTCTTTCTTTATTTTGCGGGTTATAGCTAGGGTTTTATGGTAGCGAAGAATTGAGTGGTATATAAACAACTGCCGCACAATGAGAAGCTCAGTGTCTAGGTGTATAGACCATAACTTTAACCACGGCTCTTTGAGCCCTTTCTAATTCCAGGATAAAATAGGCAGCTGCTCCACCCCATACTGTGATGCAATATGTTAAAAGAGATTGGCAAAAGGCAAAATAAAGGACACCCGGCATTATGTGCCAAAGTTGTATACTTTTTTAATTTTTTTATCTGTGTATTATAATTGGGTAACGTAGTCTGGCAATATTTGTCATCAGCAGCTAGCTGTCAATGTCAAATACGTAGGTTTGTCAATATAACCTCTATATGTAGCCGGGTCGTCAAGAGAAATAACGAATAACACGGCAATCACAGCAGAGAATATTCACAATTACAGTACGCGGGAGCGGATGCGAAATGCGAATGATTTTTTTGTTTGTATTTTAGGATTGTCAAATTGACATTTGGTTTTTTATTTACAAAAAGCAAAGAAATCATGGTTTTTACAGTCACTTGAGTAATATTTTGAAGTAAAATTCTGTCCCTTGAAGATTTATGGTTTCCATATCAAAAAATTTTAATTATTATATAACTTCTTTCCACGATTCACTAAAAATAAGGCAAAAGTAGTTTTATACATGTAGCAAATAATTTAAGCTTTATTTTGAGATCAAATTCAACTGTATACAAGTTTAGCATTTTTTCTATGAAAAGTGCCGGGTCTCCTTTTACGAGTTAGTTGATGGTCAGCTCTGAGGCTCCTAAAAATGGGTAGGAGATTCCTTATCTTTTTGCTTTTCGCTGTTACTTGTGGGTGCCAAATTAGGTTTCTTTCAACTATTACTCCTAGATATTTGTGGTTATCTTTTTGCATTAGGAGTTGCAGAACAGTTGGAGTCAATTTCTAGGTCGCACAAAGAAGAATGGGCTTTTATAGTGAAGTGGATTGGCGGCTTAATAGCATCAGAGATTCTAAAACATATATATATTGTTTTTCAGTACATTAATCCTAAGCAGATTGTTATACAACCACTTTATAACTTTCTTTAGTCCATTTTCAGCAGAGTTTTCGACTAATGCCTTTTAATTTTTATTTCTGATACTGCTCGTATCGTCTGCAAACGAAAGAATATTGCCTTTATCAAGTTAACGCGGTTGCAGGGCTCATTAACCTTAGCTAGTTCATCAAGGCTACAAATAGTGTAGGGCGAAGACTGCTACCCTGGGGTATACCATACGTACCTGGTAACTCAGAGCTACAAACCCTCTCCATTCGAACCACTTGACTTCTGCCTGTGTGGTAGTTACAAAGTCATTTTAATGCAGGCCCACAAATGCCCAAGTTTTCAAGCCTCGACAAAAGTAGCGGTAAGCCTTCGATCCTCTGTATTTCTACCTGATCGGAAGCATATGTGACTAGCTAATATGTTTTTATATTCCAGAAATTTTACTAGTCTGGTGTTTAAAGTCTTTTCAATTATCTTGCTTATTGTACTAAGTAGTATTATTGGTCTATAGTTTGAAATGGATTCCACTTTAGTCCACCACCTTTATAAATCGAAACAACAACAGCTTTCATAAATATACTTTGAAAAATGCGCATATCATGGCGCAGAAAATGACATGAGATTTTTTAAGTTTTTATGTTGATATAGATATAGTATCTATTTCGGGAGCACTGCTAGTTTTAAGACTGAGGGTGATTTTGTCTATCTCTACAATTTTTGCAGGAATTTTCGAAGTATTTTTTTGTATTAGTTTAGGGACTCAGTTCTTATTATTATTTCAGAAGCTAGTTTTTCACAAATAGACATATAATAATAAAATATATGCGAAAGAAAGGGGAACGAAAAGAGTATGCTTATCCGCAAAGCCAAAGCTCGCAGCAGCTAGAAAATCCCAGCATAAAATGATGTGAAATTAACTTTGTTATGGCATCGCTTCACCGGTTTATGTGATTTGCGCTTAGAAATCTTATGACGAGTACTAATATTTAACCAAATAGTAAAATTAATGTCTTTCTATTTAAACAATAAACTTAATCAACTTTAGTCTATAATGATTTCAGATGGGCAACATGTTTATTGGATGGAGGAGATGATCTAGACGTTTCAAATGAACTTCGACACGAAAAGTTCGGGAGCGCACCGGGAGCTGTATGGGGTGCCAAGAAACAATGCGAGGTAATGCTTGATGCTTGAGACATTCAAACTACAGAAATAAACTGACTACTCGATCAGCCACATAACCGAAACCGCTGGTTCTTTATTATTCCAATTTCGCAGGTGCTGCTACGGGATGTAGATGCTGCGCCGTGGTCGGGAGCAGGGGCAGGTGCGGTAGGTCCGTGCGCTCAGTTAGCGTGCCGCTCGCCGCACCGCGTCGGCTTCTACTACGCCGGGCCCGCGCTGCCCGGCACGCCCTGCGGCGATCACATGGTACATTACACCAGTAGAAGGGGGGTGGTCTCAATGGGCCCGTGCACCCAGCTGGCGATGGCGTGCCAGTCGCCGCACCGCGTCCGGTTCTACTAAGCTGGGCCCGCGCTGCCCGGTACATTACATCCAGAGAGGCGGGGCTCGCGCATGCTGGATTTGCTACCCAATTTTAAGGGACCCTTCCCTAACAGTGGGTGGTGTAATGTAAGTTACGGAGTAAGGACCCCCGATTTAGGTTGATCGGCGTGGTGTAATAATTACTTACCCTAGCTAGGGGCCACGCCCACCCTTTCGATTGGGCCCTTAGAATTGGGTGGTGTAAATTCCGTTTCAGTAGTGGCTCATGTCATGTGTAAGGAGGATAGTGCGGGGCGGTATCCTGATCACAAGATGCATGATGGTGGCCGCGTCGTCGTACCTATTAAATATAAATTAAAATATATTTATGAAGTAAATACCTAATGTATAAAATTTAAATCCAAATTTCCTTAACCTATTTACGAATAATATCTTATTAACAAAATAAAAAAATACGTCACCCACAGCGCCGCCGCCGTCAGGAATAGAAAGTAAATTAGTAAATTATTTTATGAAAAGTATTCGCAAAAATGCCTTTTTATAAATTACCCTTGCAAATTCTTAAAACGGCTATGTAAAATCGAGTAGTTACTGCTGTACTGTGAAGTTCTTAAAAAAGTCATGTTTTTGTTTTGTAGTGTTTACAACTTCCAACTAGAACTAGAACAATTATGCTGCAACTTACCTCGCCGTAACTTTTTGCATTTTAGTGGTGTCAAGGAGGGGAATGCGTGCCAGCGAGTACTAGTCCCAATATCACGGAGGGACCAATCAATTCTAATGAGGTCGTAGGTGGTGGTGAAGGAGCTGGGTCAGAAAGTGCTGGTGCAGACGGTTGGGGTGAGCGACAATTTTATACGTTGAAAAAATATGCTGATAAAAAACTGATCTCGTTTGAGCAATAATAGAAAATTAACCTAGTTTTTTTTTATAATTCTAAATAATTTTTACTAAACTTTATACTATTCACAAGAAGATATCGCAAAACAATGCCTTCGCATATCTTATGAATTTATCTATAAAATATGAGGATTTTCTTTCATTCCCATTGCATTTTAATGAGAGTACATTACTTCAATCTAAGTGGTATTAAAACAAACTACGCTTTTCTACGCTTTTGTTTCTTTCCCTTTCCATTAAGATGCATATTTAAATTCGGAAGCTTGATGGTGCAAGTGGTTTGCGCGTTCAGCTGCGATTGTTGGAGTTAAGCTACTTTTGTAGTGGTTTGTCATTGGATAGGTGCGAAAGTTGCTTAACTTCAACGATCGCAGCCGTGCGCGTTAACCACCTGCGCCATCGAGCTCCATTCCATCCATGGGGAAGACATTAATAGGCTGATGATGATAGCAAATTCTTGTGCACACTCATCATGAAAACTATAAGCATAGATTTATATGAAATAATTTTACTCAATGCCTACATCGCAGGTCCATGGCGCGAGTCTTCATGCCAGTCGGGGTGCACGATGCGCGCGCGCGGCTTTCGCGAGCGTCGCCGCACCTGCGCCGGCGCAGCAACTTGCACCGGTGCTTCTTACGACGTCATGCTTTGCGACGACTCAAAGGCAAATATAATTGTCAAGTATAAAGTAGATTTTGTGAATAAATCGCGATTTACACCCGATCAAATAGTGTTTTGTTGAATGTAAATGTATTCTTTATTTTAAGGCTGGAAAAGAAGTTCATCGAAATCAGTTTATTATATACTATTTTATAGCACAGTGTGACTTAAACCCGCACTTTACGCACGCTTTTCCGTGACCTAAGTTGCCTATTTCTGCACGGTGTGTAAATGAATTGACCAACTTCACTCATGTAGAAAAAATAAAAGGAAACACATTTAAATGTCATTTGGAGCTTAAAAACTCACAGCAAACAAATGACAAATTAGCGATAGGTTAGGAATTTTCAACTTCACGCCGTGCAGTAATAGGCAACTTAGGTCACGCGTATCGTGATGTACTATTCCTTCTTCACGCCCTATGGGAACAACTCTACATTTGAATTCATTTCTATCTTATAAACTTTCGAATTTTGTACAGAAAATAAAAGTTTCACAGAAAATTTAAGAAAACTTAACTTACAACTCTACTGGTTTGGGATTATTTTATACCTTTATCGATTGTATCCGCTTAGTAATATCCTTTAGTTCGACATCGGACCATAACGTCTATCGGGTATATAACCGCTAGTACTTGACATTGATAGATGAAGGTCGTGTTTCTTGCAGGTGTGCGGTAAAAAGAGTCGCGTGAGTGCCAACGAGCTAGCGGCGCGCAAGTGCGGCGAGTACGCGCGCCTTTTGCCAGAGCTAGACGCACGAGGAGGCGGCCTGCAGGTGCCACACGACCCCAGTGAGAATAATATCAAGCAATCAATACTCGTATACCGGAGGAGTTAGGGGGCCATGCGTCTGCGCACCCTTAGCGCGATCCATTATCGAATTCGAATTGTCGAAATCGATCTAGATATGCGCAGATCTGATTGTAAATTCTCATTTCGTCCGCTGTTCAAGTTTTCATACAAAATTTGACATTGACATTTCGCACTCGCAGAAGTGACGTATTCGATATTGGATCGTGCTAGTGGTACTGGCGGCGCGCAAGTGCGGCGAGTACCTACGCGCGCCTGCTGCCCGAGCTGGACGCGCGCGGTGGCGGCCTGAAGGTTTCGCACGACTCCAGGAAGAATATCAATCAATCAATACTCGTATACCGGGTGAACAAGGGGGCTATGTGTCTGCGAGCTGACGTCGCGCATGTGCGGCCAGTACGCGTGCCTGCGCCCGCTGCCCGAGTAGGACACGCACTTAGCGGCCTGTGGCCACACGACCCCAGTGAGAATCAATATGATTATTAGTTACTTATTATACGGCCACGTTAACCCAAATTTTATGTGCCTTTATCGCACTAAACGACGACGAATTGTAGTGTACTGGAATACTCTTGATCAGGGGCGGCAAGATTGTTTTTCAGTATCCTTTGGTCGAAATTTTGGTTTTGAATTATTGCGGAGAAAATTCCAGCCATCAATTGGGATGGAGTCAGTTGCTAATATTGCTTTGTCTTATATTATTTATATAATGTGTATGTTTGATGATCAGCCCGTATGTGGATGGGTTGCGCGGTGTTTTGTCGGCGCGCAGCTGGGGGCGGTTTCTACGCGCCGCGCGTGGAGCTCAACGGTGCCGGCCTCGACCCCTACTTTCCGGACGGCACATGGTGCCATCACGACGGCGAGCAACACTACTACTGCATGCAGCATCACTGCTTGCCCGAGGTAACGTACTGCAGGCGAGTCTGTATCAGCCCGTATGTGGAGCGCGTGGAGCTCAACGGCGCCGGCCTTGACCCCTACTTGTCGGACGGCACGTGGTAGCATCACGACGGCGAGCAACATTACTACTGCATGCAGCACCACTGCTTATCCGAGGTAACATACTGCAGGCGATTCTGTATCAGCCCGTATGTGGAGCGCGTGGAGCTCAACGGCGCCGGCCTCGACCCCTATTTTGCGGACGGCACGTGGTGGCATCACGACGGCGAGCAACACTACTACTGCATGCAGCACCACTGCTTGCCCGAGGTAAAGTACTGCAGGCGAGTCTGTATCAGCCCGTATGTGGCGCGCGTGGAGCACAACGGCGCTGGCCTCGACACCTACTTCCCGGACGGCACATGGTGCCATCACGACGGCGAGCAACACTACTACTACATGCAGCACCACTGCTTGCCCGAGGTAGTGTACTGTGGAGCGATTCAATCTTCACGGCGGTTGATAATTTAGCAATAGCCAAAATGGTGGAATTGTTGAATATGAAAAAGTAAATAAAGTGGATCAGAGTAGCCGGTGGTGCAGTTATCTCTGCTGCGCAATTTATTTGCACAATTGAACTCCACTTACAAATAGTACTCATATTAAGGGTAAGGGAAATTTGTTTAGAGTATACTTGATAGGAAATAGTGTTAAAGGTAGAGTCTAACGCTAACGCCTGAATATAACACATGCACAAATTCACAGAACTTCAAGATGACAGCGGAGTGGAACGTGTGGCAGTTGCCGAGCGAAGACATCGACGGCCCCTTCAATGCCAAAGCGCAGAACACCGCAGAGGACGACGCAGCTAATGACGCCATTCAGAACTACCATTCGCTTAACAACGAAGGGATACCAATATTCCGCTCTGCGTTTCCTCCGCTTGTGCCCGAAGAGCCTGAAAGCAATTGGGAGGTCATGGATTACGTGGACCTACCTCGTGTCATTGAAGATCGACAGCCGCACTGATCTACGCTTCTTTATTCAAACAATAAAGGATGGGTAATTAGGATATAAAAAATACATAAAACCTTTTCTTGCCAAATGCTTACTACTATGATTATTATGTTGTCCTAGTGATATATTTATTTTAAGATATTTATTCTATTTTCAAGTGAAAATACTTAATTATATTTATTACCTATGTTAAAAAACCGGATACGGAAATTTTACACTGAAACGAAGTAGGACATAGCAGATCTAACATAAAACTGCAGCAATTTGGTTACCATCCTTATAAAATAAAAGAGAACCGTCAGTAGTTCAGCTAGGACCACTTTTTAAGGTTTCATACCCAAAACGTTGACAGCTGAATTTTACCTAATTTCCGATGTGTTCTTTCCTCCGTTCATATATCAACAATTAAATATTATGAACCACAATCGGTATACAGGTTAATTTTCATAATAACAAACATAAATAAAATAAAGTTGAAAATCAAAGTTTTGTTGGACATGTAGGGAGGATTGCTCTGCGCAGCCGCTCATGTGCGATTTGCACTTGTACTACCGTTACCGTTTTTCCTCATTTATTTGTTCACAAATAAAAATAAAAGATCTAAATCTTCATGCTATTGCCAATCGAACCATACTAAAGTAAATTAAGAATTAACAAAGTAGTCTGCATACAGAACACTGTTTGACTTTAGTTTATGATGAAAATGTGTTTAATTTCTTAAAAAAATAGTCTGCAGGCAAAAAGATTGCTTTTATTTTCACAGTTTTAAACGAAAAAAAAAACGGAGGAGGTTCTCATGTCAACGCGTATATTTTTTTTATGTATGACAACGCATAACTTTGCACAGAGTCGTGCGATTTTGATAATTCTGTTTTCATTGGAAATTGTATACCACGAAATTGGTCCCATATGAATTTGTAAAAAAACCAATCCTAAGGGTATGAAAACAGGGGATGACGATTCACTCACTGGTTGTAATGTAATCACGCATAACTTTTTACAGAGTAGTCTGATTTTAATTTATTTTTTTGGAAAGGAGATACATCAATGTTGGTCTCATATATACATTTGGAAAAAAAACTACCTCTAAGGGTGGGAAAATAGGGGTGCTTGTTCACTCACAGATTTTGATGCCGAGTTTTATATTAAAGCTACAAAAAATTGTAAGATAAAAACTTTTTAACAAAAAAATTAAACCGCCGAAAAGAAAATGGAATAAACTTTTTTTATCTTTAGTCAAATTAATATTTGAAGTAGGTGCCATGCAGGTCTGATAAATCATTTACTAGTTGGGTTGGCCTGGCACTGGTACCGACTCCAGTTATTAACTTGACTTAAGATAAAAATGGTTTAATATTTTTAACTTGGCGTTGGTTTAATTATTTTTGTTGAAAAAAAAAATTTTTAACATATCCTTCTATTTTTAAGTAAGTACCTACAAGATAGACTATAATACCTACTAAGAAAAAGAGAACTGAGAGAGTATTTTAGTTAGTCTGTAAGTAAAAATAGGGAAGATGCATATATAATATTTATGAAAATTTTATGATTAAAATGTTAAAAAAATATAAAAGAAATGCCACTGCAACGTTTTTATTTTACATAATGTTGTTTTTTAAGAATTATTCCGAATTAAAAATAGTGACGTCACTCCTGTTATGACAACTTCTTTGAGGTTATGGTTGTTAAAGTAAATATTATTTTATAGGAATATTAATTGCGTTTTTTTACATTTAATAAAAATGGAAGTTGCGTTTATCAAAGCAGACTCCAGGAATTTACCAAGAGTTAGTGTTGACATGGTTATAACTTTTTTTGTACAAAGTGCAGAGTTTTTAAGTGCAGAAATGAAAGGGACTAAATTACTACGGTATGTAAAACTCGTAGTTGTTAAACTTCGTATTTTATTCAGCGGCTTCTACAAATCTTACGGCGATAATGCAATCGGCTATATCCAAATAAAAAGAGATGGAGAATTATGTACAGTAAAAGGTCGAGTTCTCCGGAGCATAAAGTACGTAAAGAAGGTTATCGTGTTCAAAGACTTTATATAAAGTATTTGATCGTGTTACAGTTATTTTAAATGAAACGCAAAGCTTGGTTCAGTCCTGCCAATGTGAAGATTGTGCCACACATTTTAAACTTTATCTAATTTTCGACGTCATTCTCCAACTGTAAAATTAAAAATATGTTATAGACAGGTTTTGTAAGTAGTAGGTAGGTTACTAATGCGTTTTTACGTACAAGCAGATTAATAAAGCATATAACAAGTATATTCGCCGACTTGCGTCAAAGTGATCTTCACAGCATCGAATAATGGTCTTTGGAGAATAATTGTCATTTCTCTTTGCAGCTTGAAACCACTTTTTTTTTCAATTTTGGGTCAGAAGTTCCAGTCAAAAACCATTTATTTGGAAACTTTGTTGAAGTAGATTGGCACAAAACATGAGTCAACACGGCTTTTTTTCGGAATATTAGTGGTATTGTTATGATCACATGATGTTGATGGATAGTCCATTTTAAATTTTTCAAAAAAATATTTCGAAAGTCGAAAAAATATGCAAAAGTATGAAAAGCCAGCGACGAACAAGTACGACCAGTGACAGACAGGAGTGACGTCATCGCAACCATAGGTTCGTTTTTTCCGATAAATCACAATGTTTTAATTTTTTAATATATCTATGGTTTATTCTACATGGAATTCTTTAAAATGAAAACAAAAATAAAAATATTGCATCTTCCCTATTATTGTTCAACACATGCCTTTATGGAGGTTGTATACATTATTCGAAAGTTCAAAATTACGAGGCATACAACGGAGCGTGCGGTAAAACGTTTTACTTCACGCTCCCATACATGTTGCAGTGCGTATCCTTTACGGTTTCTTTTATTTCGATCGAAGCACCTTGGAAGCGCTCTTAATCTATTCCTTTCTCTGTCTCACTTTAAGACTAAAAAGAAAGAGACGAAAGATGTAGGGCTAATTTTAAAGTTTTTTGCATTACTTAAATTAGGTACCTATACTGTTTTCTCGCAAATGTGTTGAAAAACGTTGTATGACATTCGTGCGGAACTGGTATTTACAAACTCGTGACTATGGTAAGCCCTCTATCTACTTGTCTCGGCTCGGGCTTATATTCGTTTACTCGTCCGTAATAACTAACTTACCGCACTTATATCATAAATAACTATTAAAGATGACAAAAATGATGGCATTTATTAGAAATTAAGATATACTTATTACAATATTAAGTTTTAACAAAGACAATTCTGAACAGTATTTTATTCATAAGTTTATTCTACGATTATTTAGTATACTAGAGTAAGTACCAAATACGATATTAAAAGTTTAGAATTATATTTCGGCTGTAGCTAAATATACATCACTTACCTTACTTTTACCTATTTAGCTAATTGTTTTGATTTTTTGATGATATCACCATCACTAAATTAAATGGAAGTTGTGCTAGTCTCATTAATTAAAATGTAAACAGTAGTGTAAGTACTATTACATATTTTTATTATTATTAGGTACGCAGTTGTAAATGCATTTAAGTATAAAATTTATGTAAAGGTTTTATACATCCGTGTCGAATGAATAATAAATTTCCGTTACAAACAGATACCGTGTTTTCTTAATTATTTGCTTTGCTCTTTTAATAATATTTAATATTTTGTTAAGATAATATTGCTGAGTTAAGCTTGCAACTCACATTCATATAGTATGATGTACGCTAAGAGCGTTACCGGAATATTTTGTTGGAAACCTTAGAATTTAAAAAAATAAATTGTAATGAATTAAGTTTTTAAATAAAAATCTAATCTACGAACATAAATATGTTTGATGCTTCAATGTAAGTATATCAATCACCATTATTGTCTATAACCTAATCACTTGACATCTTCACGGCATACTTTCTGCCAGTCTTTCAGTTTTAAGCTGCAAAGTAAAGACTTTCACAAGGATTTTAATTTATGGATCAGGTTGGCGGCAGTCACTGAATTTTTTGACTTATGGATTGGTAATATGAAATGGGACGGTGCGGGTCAACGTAATCATGACATTTGTTTTCACATGGCCAATGCAGCTTTTTTCATTAGCTTTTCAGAAAATACTTTCTTCACAGTGCTTTTAAAGTAGGTACGAAACTGGAGGGAAAAGTTATATTTTTCATAAAGCATTTATTATTCTATTCAACTTTATCTTTATTTTATTAAACAGCATACTATTTCTTTTTATTATAGAATTAGCAGCAAAATAATATAAAAGATAAACCTTTGATAGAAAAAATTTACCAAAGAAAATAAAGATAAAACGCTTTGCACATAGCATTCGAAGCTGAATGTACCTAATATTCAGATCTTTATTTCTGAAAATCTAACGGCTAAAACTAACCCAATATTTCGATCTTTATTTCTAATAACGGCTAAAACTAATAGACTGTTTTAATATTCTGATCTTTATTTCTGAAAATCTAACGGCTAAAACTAACCTAATATTTCGATCTTTATTTCTGAAAATATAACGGCTAAAGCTAACAAACTATTTATTTTAGTCAAGAGAGCACATAATAATTTTAAATATTGCTGGACGTCGTACGGCAAAGTGTTTCTCCGTAAGGAAGATGGTGCCCCACTTGTTCGTGTTGAATCGGAATTAGAAATTAGTATTAACGAGTCATTTGTGACTAGAGCCTATAATCATTGTTTTATGTCAATCGCTTAGCAGTACCTTTAGCTTTTGTGCCAAACTATCTGAAAAAAGTAACTTTATAATAAGTAGTTTAGTATCAAAATTTTTGAGATCTTACGTGTCCCATCAAAATTTTACAAAAAAATCCTGCTGCACTCTAATCCTGTACAAACCTTTACAGCCACAAAACACGCTTATATTATGAGTAAAGTTTTTCACAAAGTTGTTTGCTCGCACTTCGCGGATCAAATGCAATCTTTGTCACAGCATTTTTGTTCAGGCGTTAATTATGATATATATAATATTATTTCTTACTACATTCGAGCTCGGAATTTTATTTTGATACCGAACGAATTAAAGTTATTAATTACAAGTATAACTCTCATTAATCCCACATTCAGTCAGTTCTATGATGTCCGCGGAAAAAAATTTAAACGGATCAAGATTACGTTGAATACTACGAATATTTACAGTTAAAATATTTATTGAGCTAATATTTAAAAGATTTTACAGTCGTTAGCACCCACCAATCCGCACTGGCCCAAGTGGAGGGTCACGGCCCAATCTTCCTATTCCATCCATAGAAGACCTGTGTGCCCCTGCAGTGGGAACATCAATAGGCTGATGATGATGATCATGAGGGAAAAAAGGATATAAGATAAAAACCTTTCAGTATACTTACATCAGAAGACTTTTTTTCATATCTCTGTATTTTTGAACATAAAAACACGAAGATCGTTGTCGTAAAAGTTTGAATTAGCAAATTTTCTTAAAAGGTTATTTTCAGTGTGATTGTCTTAATAAGTACGCCAGACTCAAACTAATAAATCATAAAAAATAGCTGCAAAGGCAGACAGCGATGTCCGTCTGATAACAATATATTGAATTATCGTATTCCATATATTGTATATATATTGATACGAAATAAAGTAAATTTCAAACAAGCGATAATACATATAAAAGTAATAATTATTAAAATGCAATAAACTCTTTCATGTTCTTTCTACGGGTTCTATCACAAAAATCTTATTTAACTACCATGTAAGGAGGTACAATCTGCTTAAAAAAAATAAGATTTATGAATTTTCCAATATAAGTTTATGAATATATATGTAATAACTATTTTTTTTATTTTCAAATATCAGATTAAAGTCATCAAAAAGACTTCAACGAGATTTATGTTTGTATTCGGCAGCGTTGCATTTTTGGGTGTTATTAATAACGTAGGTAATTATTGAAGAAGAATTACGTCATAAAAAAAAAGCTTTGATGAAAATGTATTATTAAATGACATCCAAGATTTTAGTAGCGACATCCAAATTTTTGCCCAGCAACATTATATGTTAATCTGAGCATTTGTAGTCGATTTGTGCATAATAAGGCTTATTTACGTATTTGCAATTGCTATTATGCAAGTTCTAGATGATGATAGTAATGCTACGATCTACGTGCCATACCGTTAGAAAGTTTTGATGAACTAAAACAGGTATTTTAATTTTATGCTTTTAAATAAAGTGTACTACTACTTAAATCTAATTCTCCGATGAAATTCAAAACAATTTTTCGATACTACCTATCCGATCTATTAGTTATAGGTAGATATTAAAAGTATAGCTTGACAAGCTAACTTATTGATTTAATTGATTATAATTACGACCTTAATGCCTTTAGAAACAAAGGGGGAAATTTTTGAACTTTCTTAAGACGTACTTCAGCCGCGTTTAAACTATATTTTTGTACTACGCCCTCATATATTTAAGCATAGTATTAATTATTAGCTTCTTCAAAATAATTATAAAATTAACCCCTCAAAGGATTGGCGGAGATTCAGTTACAGTAATCATCATTATTATATAATTTCTATAAATAATTGGTAAGTACGTCAGACGCACCAACAGTTATTTATTTTTGTCAATTTATGAGATAACTAAATATTAATCTGAGGGAGTCAAACAATGCTACATTATACCCCCTGGTCAGTGTTCAATATGCGTTATCGTTAAAATGAATAGAAGGAATATAATAATACTTATGTAGGCGTAGGCCTTATTATATTCAGGTAAAGATGAATGAGACGTTATCACTTTGTGCAAACATTTCAGCAGTATGTTGCTATAGTGATATGGCATTTAAACTATATCTTATTTTTTTATGCTTGTTTTAATCTAAGTTGCCAACCTAATTCCTTATTGCACATCATCATCGGTGTCTGTGCGTCTACACTGTTCGAGCACAGTCTTTCCCTATGGATGGAATTACGAGTACGAGCCATGATCCGCTAATAGGACCCAGTGCAGATATGGTGGGTGCTAACGACTGTTTTTTCTATGCTATTTAGATATAAATCCCTTCTTTTTTCTGAAACAAATGAAAACATTTCGACAAATGCATGAACCTTTAGCCTCAGAGCACTTAGCTTCCGCCATAACTATGGAAACATATATGTATACTAGCTGACCCAGCGAACTTCGTACCGCCCTAAAAAAATAGGGGTTGTCCAGCGGACAAAATTGTGAATCTAAACCATTCTCAGATCCCCTTGAACACACACAAAAAATTTCATCAAAATCGGTCCAGTAGTTTAAGAGAAGTTCAGTGACATACACTCACAGAAGAATTATATATATAAAGATTTTAAGATTTTGATGTCTGAGTTAAAAACCTTATTTACCTCGCTATATCAAAACGTCTTTTTTCAAGATCTTTATGGTAACTGTATCTATAGCATAAAGATCTTGAAAAAAATGCGTTTTGATATGTAAAAAATATTGTTCTACACACATCAAAAGTGTCTAGGGATCAACATATATTTTTGCAATAACTTTTCTCCTGATTGATATTAATTAAAATTTTCTTTAAGGATTCATCAAATAAAGTGTTTTCGTTTGTCACAGTAACGATAAACCAAGTCACCTTTGCATTAATAAAGAAATTTGCCATTTTCCTAATAAAGGGATTTTTGACATTTGAACCACTAACACAAAAGTTCGAAAAAAAGACTGAAATAACAGTTTTCTCTAAAATTTTATTGGGTAACTTAAACAATTAATAATCCGTATTTCTACCGCGAACACTAACAACACAAGAACATCGGTTTGGCATACTCAAAATGAGTTCATCCAAATCACGCTGTGGAATGGCCGCCCATGTTCGTTGCAACAACAAAAAAAGGTCTTCTTGCGACTGGATACCCTCCATATTCAGCAGAGCTCTTCTCTGTAGCATATCCCATGCATGCTCAATCGGGTTCAAGTCTGGCGACTGAGCAGGCCAGGGCAGGACATTGATGTTAGCTGCGGCGAGAGTCTGTCTTACAACTCTTGCGGTGTGCGGTCGTGCATTATCATGCATTAACTGAAATAAGGGACCGATTTGCACTTGTAGAGGAACGATGACGTCTGATACAATCGTCTCAGCATAAATTTGAGCGTTGAGATTGCCTCTGATCCAAATCAACTCAGTTCTTCCGCCGATCCAAATACCCGCCCATACCATGATGGTTCCACCACTATAAGGATGGACTTCCTGGCAGGATTTTAATCGCTGTTGGCGTCCAGGGGTTCTCCAGTGTCGTATACGTCTTGTATCCGGTCTCATACCAAAACGAGACTCATCAGAAAAGCACACGAAACGCCATTGTTCTTCTGCCCAATTTCTGTGTTCAAGAGCCCATTGATATCGAATCCTACGATTGTGCATTGCTATAGGTGGTACCCGTAGCGGTCTTCGGGAATGAAGGTTCACTTCATGCAAGCGGTTTCTGACTGTTTGGTCGCTAATTAAGTTCCCTGAAGAGTGATGAAGCCTCACGGCTAACATCATGGCGGTTATTGTTGGAGCTCTTCGAGTTAAGATTTGAATGTATCGGTCTTGTCTCCGTGTGGTGCAGCGATACCGTCCTCCATGGCGCTCAGCCACGGT